CCCAACACACACACACACACACACACGCACACACACACACACACACACACACACACATCTGTGTTTTTCTCCTTCTGCGCCTTTGCTGTACAGCAGACTTTTATTTTTTCCTATTTCTCCAATAATTCACCAAATATTTCAGTAGATTTGATTATTGTATTTCCAAATATAAAACTAACCTGTAAATATATTTATGACGTTTACTGCAGTTTCTACAACTTTCTGATGAACAAACCTCAACTTCATTTTTTAAAACTTTTATATTAACTCAGTATTTTAACAACAGACGTTTTTTTTTCTTTAAACTGTTCAATGACCTGACCGTTAGCTTCAGCTAGCGTTAGCCGTCAGTTCTCTGCTGCTTCAGATGAACTGGTCTACCAATAAAAACACATTTAAATCCAAGTCACACCTCAAACTGACGGACACATGGGCCTCGAACCGATGACCTTCCTGCTCTGAAAAACAACTGTGAGTGTTGGTTTATTTATTATTTATTATTGTTAATCTGTATCTGTTGTGTATTTGTACAACAGTAATTGTACCACAACAACAACAACAATTACTTTTATTATTGCATTTGATAAATAATATTAATTTGACCAGAGAGAATTTGAGTTTAAAAAAGTTCAATTATTTATTTCTGAACTACTGACCACAATAAACAACCCGGACTTTAAAGTTCTGATTCGTTAGGACCGGTACTGGTTTCCTTGACGAGTTCTGGTTCAGACAAGAACGTTCAAGGTTGGAGGTTCTGAACACGTACACTGGTGTATGTGTCACATGAGCAGCATACACTGTTAATCTGCTAATCTTAATCTTAATCTGACCCTAATGAAACTCAGTCTTGGACCTGAGATTGTGTCTCTGACTCAGTGAGGACCTGCAAAGACGTCCAGACGAGGACACACTGTCCCCACCACAGTACAAAGACCAGAAGAAGAAAAAACACTCCCCAACAAGTGACTCTTCATTTTCCTACTAGTCAACATGAACACACGTGTTTTGTGGTCGCTCAGCGGAGGCCTAAGGTCATGAGGTCAGGCTCTGATTCCCCCTCGATTGAAAACAGTTCGATTCCCTTTCAGAAACCTCCAGCTCGTCTGTGAGACGCTGAACCCGTCGCTGCTTTAACCCAACAGTTACCAGAACCGCAGCCACTTGGTCTCCACACACACACACACACACACACAGAACTCTTCTGACGACCTCTGCTGGTCATAACTGGGTACTGCACTCCCGCAACCAGAACTCCCATTCAAACCAACAGACCCTGGGTTCCCGCGGCTCCACTCAGCCCGGGCTGCACCGGTACCAGTTCTGGTGCTGGTTTGTGACCTGGTGTCACTGGTGTCAGAACATGAAGAGGAGACACAGCGGGTCGACCTGGACGGAGGGGCAGCAATTACTGCATGTGGGAAAATACTAAATTGGGGTGTCGGGGGGGTGGGGGGGGGGGTGGGGGCGCGCGGGGGGGTGGGGGGG